TTCTTCCAATGGCTATAAAATACAGTACATGGAATGTGAAATTTTAGAAATTCTTTTTGTACATTTTTAATAATACTATGAAATAGATATTGCACACATTTTTTGGAAATGAGATACCCTTTTTAAAAAAAATGACACTTTCGAAAAAGTGCTATTTGGTATAAATTAATGCTTTAAAATGTTTAAGTAAAATTAGTTCTGAGAATTTTGACACACCTCTAGATAACTAAATAAACTTAGTGTGGTACCTGAAATGGGGCTAGGAATTAAGTTCTTCAAAGATTAAAAGAAAAATGATGAAAAAATATGTCAAATATTATTTTCTTCATTTCTGCTGGTTCCCAGCATAGAGCTAGAAAGGGACTGGTCCCAAATCTCCTAGGTACTCAGCTGGAGGTAGAGCTGCTTCTGACCTTTCCCTTCTATTTAGAAATAAAACTCAAAGTGGTCAGTTCTGCTTTTGTACATTGTCCAGTCAGCCCCTGTCAAAGCTAGCAGCTAGATTTGTCATTTTTACCAGGAAGCTTCTGAAGTACAAGGCTTCCTTCCATGTTACCTGACTACTGACCAGCCTTTGAACGAATCAGGTTAGATTTCAGGAGACCAGGACAGAGCCTGCGGCGCCTTGCTGCTTGGGCTGCCCTTCTCCCTTGTCCTCAAGATTTACATCCCCTTTTCAGAAAGTCTGCTTGAGAAGCAGAAGAAGCACAGGGCAAAGAAAGGAAGGGCTGGACTCACACAAGGATGTGTTTCCTTAGGTTGTAAAATAAACAAGCAAATTCCCCCAAACCACCAAACCTGAAATCCCTCTTTCACCTCTCCCTGAGAAAGCTTTCCCCACCCCTCCCACTTGGGCTGTTTCTGAGGCTGTAAGAAGCAGCTCAGGAATGAAGCAGTATCTTAGTTACACAGTACACCACTCCCCCTTACCAAAATACCTTTCCCTCTTCACCATCACCCCAATAAAAACAAAACCTAGCCCATTTCTCTCAATGAATGTATGATTTTGGGGGGTGGGTGGAAGAGGGGTCAATTGTCCTCTCGGATTTTCAAAAATATCTTTTTCTTCCCCTAATAAAAACACCACCCACCTCTCACTTCTCAGAGAGGGCAACAAATACTCCATCTTCTGAGTTTTGGTCTGCATGATGGTGGGGTTTTTGGAGGGGACAGATTTCCCCCTCTTACCCTTTCAAATAAAAGCAAAACCTATCTTTTACTCCTCTCAGTGAATCTCACAGTTATTTAGTCTTACAATGCATAGTGGTGTTTGTTTTATTTTTTTAGACATTTTTTGTGGGAAGCTTTCCCCTAGCTTTTCCACACTCCTTTCAGTTGGTGAAATTCACACCTGAATTTTGCTGTTTAATGGTTTGGGGGAACTGTTTTAGGTACCACCTTAGAGTTTCAGTAGCCTTTCCCCCATTCCCCTAACACAAACATTCCCTCCCATAAGGAGGGAGGAGATGGAGTGAGGGTTTTGTTTTTACTAGGCAAAGAGTTTGAAGGGTGGTCTCTTTAAAAGTTGGTAGGTAATACACTCCCAAAAAAATCTGCACAGAAAAAAATCTAAGGAGGTGGGCAATTCTCTGATTGCTCCCCTCAGAGGAGTAAGAAACGGGTCTTGATTTGGAGAAGGTGTGTGAAAAATATGAGGGAGCCCCACCCCCAACAGCCTTCTCCTAACAACCACCCTGCAAAACTTAGATGGGAGAAAGCTGCTGAAAGGAGTGAGGGGTATATTTATGTTTTCATTGAGGTAGGGTGAGTTTTGAGGAAAAGCCTGGGGGCTTCCCCCCAAAATACCCTGTGAAAACCATCACACTGGTAAAACTCAGATGATTCATTGGTTGCCGCTCCCCCCAAGGGAAGGGTCTTCATTTTTGGGGGGGTTAACCAAAAAAACCTTCCCGTAAGAAAAATCAAATCCACCCTCAGTTCTTTCAGTAAGCATCCTATCTCTCCAGTTGCCCTCTGTGCCCTGGGTTTTTTTTTTTTTTTTGCTCCCTGGTTTTTTTTTAATAGACTTTCTCTCTCTCCAATCCCCCCCAAAACAAAATTTGTTCTCACTTCTTTGTGTATGTGCAGTTAATGAATTTCTCATCTCCTGATTTTTACTGGGTGATTTTTTTTGGGGGGGCTAGGCAATTAAGTGACCTGCCCTGGGTGACACAGCTAGCTAGCAAGTATCTGAGGCCACATTTGAACTCAGGTCCTCTAGATTCCAGGGCCAGTGCTCTATCCACTGTGCCACCTAGCTGCCCCTTATGTGGGGTGCTTTTTGAGGGGTATTTTTTTGGGACATTCCCTAGCTTTTCATCAGAACTCACTCCACCTCAACAAAAACAAAAAACATACCCCTCATTCCTTTCAGCAGCTTTCTCTCATCTAAGTTTTCAGTGTGGTTGTTAAGGAAAGGCAGTTTTTTTGGGGGGAAGAGTGTGAAGGCTGTTTTGGAGGGTGGATCCTCTCTAAGATTTTCTACACAAGCTCTCCAAATCAAAACAAAATCCATCCCTTTCTCTTCTGAAGGAAACAAAGAATTGCTCACCTCCTTAGTTTTTTTTTCTCTGCAGCTTTTAAAGCGAATATTATCTGCCATCTTTTAAAGAGACCTCTCTTAAACTCTTAATAGAAGCAAAATCCTCACTCCTTTCAATGAGCAATGGATCTTCCATTTCTTGACTTTCTTTGCAGGATTTCCTTCTTTCTTTCTTTTTTTTGGAGGGTTTACCCCAGCTCCAGCTTTACAATAGATCTCCTTATAATCCTTTCTAATAAAACAAACTCCATCTCACATTCCTTTCAGTGTGGATTGACTTTCACATCTTCTGAGTTTTTCAGTGTGGTGGTTTTTATCATGGACTTTTCAACCCCAAACCCCACTTCCGACCCCAGTTAGAGACAAAAGCTATTCTTTGGTCCTTTGAGTGGGAACAAATCTCCCATCTTCTGAGTTATGCTTTGTGTCGGTTTTTCTGTTTTTGGGATGAGGTTAATTTTAGGGGCTGGGGAAAGCTTTTTAAAGGCTGTTTCTTTCCCAAAAGCCCATTCCCTAATAAAAACAAAACCCACTCATCAACGCGGGGTGTGGGGGAAAATAAATGAATCTATCTCCTGAATTGTACCATGTGTGTTGTGTGTGTGCTTGTGTTTTTTTTTTTTTTGGTAGGGAGTATTTCTTTCCAGCATTTCAACAGACCTTTTCCTATACCTACAAAACACACTCCCTCCTAGCTCCTCTTGAGCAAAAATTAAGCAGTTATCTCCACCTCCGGAGTTTTTCTCTTTCTGGTATAGCTCTTTTTTGGGGGCTGCCCCCATATCTCAACAGAAGTTCCTCTACTGAAAACAAAAGCCACTCTTTTCGGGAGAGAGGGACAAATCAACAAATTTCTGATCTTTTGAATTTGGCTTCATGGTTTTTTTTTCTTTTTGGAGAGGAGAAAGGGGGCTCTTTTTAGGCGTGGGGGCCGTATTTTGAGGGTTTCCATCCCAACATTGATTTCAACAGACCTCCCCTCTAAAAGCCATCCTTCACTCGTGAGATGAAGGCGGTCAACCAATCTACCATATCCTGAGTTTTGCTTTTTTATTTGTTTTGGAGGAGGCTACTTTTTTTTTTATTTAGTGGGGTATCCTTTCTGAAGCAAACAAACCCATCTTTCCTCTAGAACAGGGCAATCAAGGAATCTCAACAAAGGTTGAACCTCCTTAGTCCCTTTTGAGGGGGGAGGGGAAAGCTTTGCTCTTAGTTTTTCCAACAGACCTATCCCCATCCATCCCACTTACTCTAATAAAAACAAAACCCACCTCTCCCTTCTCTGTAAGGGGAAACCAATAAATCTCCCATCTCCAAAGGTTTTCTGGGAGGTGTTTTCGGAGGTGCATTCCGAGTTTTTCAACATATTTGCTCCCAATAAAAACAAAACCCACTCCTCACCGGGAAGAAGGGCGCGGAAATAATTTTTTTTTCTCTGTGCGATATTTTTTTCATGGGGGCTAAGGGGAAAGGGACCTTTTCCTTTCACTCTCCCCCTCCTCATAAAGTCATAACCCAGTCCTTACTCCTGGGGAGAGAAGAACTCAAATCTCATCTCCTCAATCTTTTCCTCTGAGGTGTTTTTCTTTCTTTGGGGGGCGCGTTTGCTTTTTCCATAGACCTCCCCTCACGACGCCCAACCCTCACTGCGGGGGTGGCGTGTGGGGTAGTGAACAAATCTCTTCAGTCTTGACTTGGCCCGGTGTTTTTTTTCGGGGGGGGTTGGAGGGATGTGCTCCCCACCCCCCGCGGCGGAAGAGCGGTTGGTTGCGCGCCGGGGTTGGGCTCAGCGGGCTACTGGGGACGCGAGAACGAGTGCTCGTGTGCTGGGGGGGCGCAGTGGTGTTTAAGGAGGTGAGCGCACGAGGTCAGCCCCGCCCCCTCCCGAGGAGGAGGGAGGAATGGAGCTGAGCAGAACCCGGAGGGAGGGGGCCCCTCCCCCCTCCCCCTCCCCGGCAGAAAGCTCAGGGACTCGCGCGGGCGCGCTCCCTCGCTCCAGCCCGCGAGCACGAGCCCTGGAGTCTCTGGCTCTCCCCGCTCTTCTCTCCTGTCTCCCTTCTTTTTTCCCCTTTCTCTTCTCCCCTCTCGGTCTGCTCCTCTCCTCTCTTTCCACGAGAAGAGCCGCCGCCGCCATCCCGTACCATCCCGATCCCTCGTCCCCTCCTCCCTCGGTTGGCCCAGCCTCCTCGCGGGTCATGGGCCCGGGTTGGGCCAATGCGGAGGCTCGATACTGGGAGGTGGGCCGGTCCTGGGCAGACGCGCGCTGGGGGGCCGGGGGGAGGGGAGGGTCTGGTGCTGCCTTAGCTGCAGCCGCCGCCGCCGCCGCCGCCGCTTTAGCCACCTCAGCCCCGGCCGCCGCCGCCGCCGCCGCCGCCGCCTCCGCTCCAGCCGCCCCGGCCGTCCCAGCTGCCGCCGCCGCCGCCCGCCCGCCGGCCGCACGCGCTCGCGCCCACGCACGCCCCGCACGCCCTCTGCTCCACGCGCGCGCGCGCGGGTACACTCGCCTTCAGTGTGGTTCCCTCAGTGGCCCCCGCCTCCTTCCTTCCTCCCTCCAGCTCCTCCTCCTCCTCCTCCTCTTCCTCCTCCCTCCTCTTCTCTCCTACATTGTCTCTGCCTCATTTTCCCTCCTGGTCTATCTAAGAAAGAATAAGAAAGAAAAAGCCGGCCCCCCCTTCAAAAATAATCCTCCCCATCACCCCCCCCCACACACTCTGCATCCTCCTGGGGACCCCCCCCGTCTCCCCTCCCCCAGGAAACCAACCACAAGACATGCTCCTGGAGCCTTGCCTCTGAAGCATCCATCCCTCTGGGCTGTCTGAGCTCCGAGAGAGGGGGGGCTTAGTGTAAAACCTCATTAAAGATCAAGGGAAAGGGGGCTGCACCCCGCCGCTCTCTTCCCTTCCCTCACTCCCGACAGACCCCTTCATTCCCCTTTCCTAGCCTGCCAGCTCCGTCCCCACAAGCTGCCCTGAACGAGACATTACTACCCCCGCAGTCCTAACCCCTCCCACCCCCCCCTTTCAACTTTCAGAGGCAGCTGGGCCACACCAAAAATCCCTTTTGAATGGTATAGGACATTAGGGAAAGGTAAGTCCCTAACTCGCCGCCTCCTTGTTTTTGGTCCTCCCACCCCCACCCGAGGAGCTGGGGAGGGGTCCTTGGGTGGGGGAGGAAGGGAACTGGGAGTAAATCACTTGGACTGTGGGAACCCCAGATTTGTGGGCTATGTTTCTGAATTGGTGTCTGAATTCTCTAAGTTGGAGAAAGTGAAGAAGACGCAGGGACGACCCATTGTGAGGGAGGAAAGGGCAAAGGACTTCATCTGGCCTAATCTAGGGGAAAGTAACTATGTATCTATGCCACTCGCTTCCTTTTCCCTTCTTTTGCTCCTGTTTCCTTGCTCTTGTTTTAGATGTCGGTGGTTGAATTATTTTCTGTGACTGAATCACTGTGACCTGTGGGAGGAAAAGGAACCAAATGATTCAGCCTGGGAATATCTTGAATGAATATGGAGAGTCTGGGGTAGTGGAGGGGAACTTGACTATCATCCTCCCATCAGGGGACAGTTTGCCCTTTGTACTGTATCTTTAAAGTTTTTGTCTGCTTTGTGTGATTTGTACATAATACAGAATCAGCAGTCATATACATCTAAATAAAAGCCTTGCTGTCATATTCAGTTTTGCTGTTCTTGAAGGTGGTCTCTTCTACTTTGTTTTTTTAATGAAAGGACATGGAAAGAACATAAGTACTTCCCCACAGTATTGGGTGGGAGAAAGACATAACATTGCATTTCATCTGAAATTGGTTGTTTTAGAAGTTGCTAAGAAGAAAACAAAATGATTCATTGTTGAATTGTCATTCTCCTCTGCCTTTTTTCCAAGGTTTGCTTGCATTTTTTCTGGATTACAGACTTATAACATTGACAAGCAAAATATGTGTCCTTGAGGGACAGGGTGCTTTAAATGTTTCAGTATGTGTTACTATTTTAAGGTGCATTTTAGAAAGTACTTTTGAAAGAAAGAATCCTTATCCAAAGCATTTTTGTTTTGTTATTAAAGAAAAAATAGATAACTAGTGAAAGGAAAACTTCGTAGTTTGCGTAACAGACCTTTTTATGTTATACAAATCATTGTATCCTATGTTTAGATTTGCAACAGCTTTAATAATTGCTTTCAATTTGAAATGAAGGCCTTTTTTTGTCTTGTGTACATTGGCTTGTTCATTCTCAGGCTGTTGGTGAGGAGGGGAGAATAGATCTGTGTGATAATAAAAACATCTTTGGATCTCTGGGTAAATATTTCTTTCCTTGGATTTGCTCTCTGAGTTTATTCTACTGTAAATTATAAACCAGTTTTTGTTTTGGTATCTTAGGCTAGGTGGAGAGCTGGCTTGCAGATTTCCTTGTTATTGAGGTCCAAGGGAAGACATACACACACACTCACACACACATACACACAATACCCAGGCTGAGAGCTCATTGTTCTTCCACACACATTCTCTCTCCCATATTTGGGACTAGGCTTGCACAGACAAACACAGCTCTTTTTTTTGGGAGAAAGAAGAGGAAAAATGGGGGAAGGTAAAGGTGCTGTTTGTCTTAAGCACATCTTTTACTCCTCTCATGTGGTCTTTTCTACAGTCACCAAAAAGGCCAAAGAGTAAATCAGAAACTAAAGAGCAGAAGAAAAAAAAGATTCAGGCTTTTGCACTTCCACCTTTTGCCTACCCTTAGTTCTGTTCTCTGCTGCTATTTCTTTGAAGACAGGATCCTGCACTTTATATTGGGCATACATGCGGTAGCTTCTCACTGTCCTTGGCCTCTTCTCTCAGTTGCACCTGACTTTTTTGGGGAACAGGAATATCAACTCCCCTTGACATATATTTGCCATAACTCTTTTAGGGAGAGAAGAGATTTCTTGGTTGTTTTGTAGGGCATAGCTTGTTAAAACTAGATTTGGGTTAATCTTTGATGAGAAAGGGGGTGTGTGTGTATGTATGTGAGGTTTAAACCCCAAGTTTGTTATTTACATATTTATGTATGTTTGCTGTTTAAATGCCAGTTTTTGTAAACAGCAGTTATAAGTGAAGATCTAGGCCTATGATTATGGGACTGGTATGAAGGCCGCTTTGAAAGTTGGGCTGGGACAGACTTTAAAGAGAGCATCTGGGTTTACATTGCTCTCTGGGTTGGTTTTGGTATGGGTAGCATCTTCTACTGGTGATGTCTTTGAAGTGTGTAGATGAAAACGATGGTGGAGGGAAATAATGACTGTAGCTTAACTTTATTTTGAATGCTCTGCAAATGCTACCTGCCTATGCTGCCGACACACACGGGCTGGGCTAAAGATTTTATTACAGTATTGTCTATCCACTGACAAAAGATTTTGCTCTGTTAAGACAGGAACTGTTTTATACATTGTTCAAGGCCTGCCCTGATTTGATTGTCTGTAACATTTTATAAGAAATGGAGGAACTTGGAAAAAAATGAAACCAAAATAATTAAGTTCAATTATTCAAATTCTAGGCTGTAGAAATAGCAAATAGAATGGAAATCTTTTCCAATAATAAGGCTGAATGCTCTTTAGATTCACTTTGGTCTTAGATGAGTTGAAGAGAGTTATCCTATTGAAAAAAATGAGTTTGAGCACTGGATGATAAGGTTTGGCCCAGGTGTTCTTGGGTTTGGGTGTGGAGGTAGAAAAGGTTTAAATCAAAGAGGAAATCTCATGTCTTTGGGTTGAGAGGATTGGGCTTCAATAAGTACATTACTATGCATAAACAAAATTAATTTAACTCTTATAGTGTGACAGATTCTATTAGTTAAGCAGAAATTTGAGTTGCAGAGTTGGTGGAGTGGTATAGTAGTGTGTGAAATGCTGAGTATCATGGAAGCTTAATATTAGGAGGAACCTTTCAGTGCAGCCCTCAAGTCTGAATCTCCTCTGCTCCATCCATGACAGTAACCATTCTGCCTGGCCTTAAAGGCCCCAGATGGGGAAGGAGTTGTCACCATCCTAGGAGGCAGCCCATTTCACTATTGAAGAGTCTTATTGTTAGGAAATTTTTCCTTACTGAGCTGAAGTGTGTCTTCTCTGTTGAAGTCTAAAGTGCTGAAGTCTCTCTGTTATGGTTCTGCCCTCTGAAGGCTAGAAGTCTTTCACCAGAAAAACCTTCAAATATATGAAGACAGTGATCATTCCCATACTCCATATCCCATACCCCTCCAATTCTCTCTTTTTCAACCGAAGCACCCAAGACCACCAGACTTTTTCAAACTGTGATAAAGTTATTATGCTAATAAAGAAAACAGACTAGAAAAAACGTATCTGAAAGGATTTTTTATTAACGTCATACAAACCAGTCTTTTTTATGTGTTATCTTTTAAAGAGATGAACAGATTAGAATGATTAGAACACGTTAGAGTATTAATGAAGTAAAAGAGCTTGACTATATAGGATAAGCTTTTCCTTTCTCATCCCAGGCAGTGCTTTGAAAAGTTATGTGTACCTTTGATTAACTTTGCTTTTAAGACTTAGTTTGTAGTAGATAAAAATCTAAAACTACAAAGCATTTTCTATTAAAAGAAAAGTATAATAAAGTGGGACTGGTTGGTCATTTTGTTGCCCAAGTAGAATTTTGTTAGGTAGTTGTAGGTTTGTTTGGTGTATAAATCCTACGTGTAAGTATTCCTTTAGTTGCAAGGAAATCTAAGTAACGAAGGAGAAGACAAGTAAAAGATAATTTAAATCATTGAATTACTTGCTTATTTTTTAACTCCAACTCAGTGAGTCTCCAGAATTTTAAATTCACTAGAAGAAAGCAAAATTCTGAAAAGCTTGGCTCTCTCTGGAGTAAATGTTTAAAATATTCAATATTTATGAAACATTAGGAGCTATGGTGGTCTTAAAAATTAGATTTCTCTTTTCCGAAAGATGGTTATATATTGTATTGGTTTAGTAAATACTTATCACTTTTAAAATTAAATTTGAAATTTTAACATCTTGACTGAATGTAAGTAATCAAAAACCAGTTTAAAGGAATAAAATAACACACTATGCTTTTTGAGGAGTAGCAAGTTTTCCTACTAACTGCTTTTGACTGCTTCTTTTTGGTAGCAGACTTAGAGATTAAGATAGCAGAAAATTTTAGTGAGTCATTAATGTAGCCTGGTTATGGACTTAATTAAAAAAAACAACCCAGAAACAACATGCCGTTGTCTCGTATGATAAATGTCCAATGGTGCGGTGCTCTAGTTGATCACGAGTTTTCCCCTATGACTAGAAATTTCTCCTGGATTTATTTTGACTGCTTACTAATTAGATCTTGATAAATATTCCAAAGACCTAACTTTCAAGTTCTGTGAAGTTACTTTTTTAAAAATTAAAAAAACTGTATATCTTTTAGTTTTTACCACATCTTTCTTTCCCACTATATCTCTTTCCCATTCCTTCTCAGAAAACCTTTCCTTATAACAAAAACTAAAAAAAAGAAAAAAGCAGTTCAGCACAGCTAACCAATCAATACATTAGCCACGTCTGACATATGCAGTGTTAAGTGCCCATAATCCTTCATCTCTGAAAAGAAGAGAGGGAAGTGCATTCTCATATCTTTTCTTTCCAAAGAAAGTTTGGTCATTACTATTTAACAGCGTTCAGTTTCACTGGTGTGCTTTCCACTTATGTTGTATTCATTGTTTATAATGTTTTCCTGGTTCTGCTTACTGCATTAAATGTACTTCAAAGAACCTTTTGTTTTTAGGAAAGAAAATAAATATTAAATGGATTCTAGTGCTTTAAATTTTTCAGTTTTTAATGTTAAATTTTTTATTGATACCTTTTGTTATTAAGTCACATGAATTTCCAAATATATCGCCCTTCTCCTCCTCCCCGTAAGCCATCTTTTATAACAAAGATTAAAAAAAGAAAGAGATGGAGTGGGGATGGGGGAACTAGTTTAGCAGAATCAACCAACATATTAACCATATCTGATTACATGCAATCATCTACAGCCAGAATCCTGAGTGCTCTGTGTTCTCAAAGTACTGAATACCTTTGCACTGAAAGGAAAGAGGTACATATTTCTAAACT